ATAGACTAATAAAATAACATTTATTAATTGTAAACCAAGTATACCCTGTACACCTTGTTTGGGACTTCAGTGACTCTTCTAATTAAATCTGATGCTTTGAATTTGAAATTGTTAAAGAAACTCTTTCTTATGAAAATTTTATATTGATAATACTAGTATATGAATTAAAAACATGTACCTTTAGTGGAATTTGAGAGTATTATATTAAATATGCAGTTTAAAAAAAAAATAACCTTTAGCACGTCAAACTTTTTTTAAAAATGAAATTTCGATATTAATTTTAATATCAAATGGTAAACCTAAAGTGGAGATGTTATTCAAACTTCAGAGCAGCACTGTGTGAGATAATTAAATTTGAAAATAATGTTTCCAATCAAGTCAGTTTTTTTATTTTTATTGTTCCAAAAACAAAAATGAATTTTTTTAGCATATCTATATTGGTGAAAAAATCTTATGGATATTAAATCTAGATATTTTTTCTTAGTGAAATGTAGTTAACACACCTCTCTTTTCATTTTATTAATAAATGGGATAAACATTAATGAGGAGAAATGATTTTTAAAAGTCTAATCTGGTTGTTACAAGTTTGTTTTCTAAATTAGCGGTATATAATATATATATATAAATATTAAAATCTAAAACAATCTTTATTTTAATATTTCAATTTATAAAATCAAATAATAATAATTTTTAAATAATACACAATTATTCCAAGAGTAAAAAATAAATCAAAATAAAATTGAAAATGCCTTTTTATATATACAAATTTTAATACAAAATTGTAACCATATAAACTTACTTTGCCATTGATCATTTGCAAAATCATTTTATGAAACTCTCTGCTTAGTACTTGACACCAGAAACAAATATCAAAAAAATCTCGTTGCTAGTGTCTGATTTACAACAGCTATGTGTCTTTTTGAAAAATCCAGGTCTTCCAACAATCTATTATAATTTCCACTAGAAAAACCAAACAAACCCTTTAAAAACAGAACTATTTTCATATTGATTTGAAAGAATTTGTTATAATCTTATATTGAAAAGTAGAAAGCGCTTTTGGAATACCTTTAAAATGCTGAAATATGCTGAAATTGTCGTCCACGTATTTCACTAACAAGGTTTTTTTCAAACTCAATGTCGACACGATATATCCTGATGAGCTTGAAATAAAGATACTACAGGGCCTGACTCAATTGTTTTACTAAAATTTCGCTGATTTGTCATCAAAAGTAGTTTCGTTGAAAGTTACCCTATTCAGTATACGGTCATAAAAAATTTCGTGTAGTATTTAAAATCGTTGAAAATTGTTAACAACGAAATAGACGAAATTTAATCCCCCACGAACATTTGTGCTTTTACAGTATATTTGGAAATCCTTTTCGAAAAAGACGTTTATGGTAATCTAACAACTAGTTTTGCTCTACGTATGAACAATTTCTAAAACAAGGGAAATTATTGACAAACATGTTTATGAAACAAAAATATCAGCAGTCTCGTTGAAAGCAATCATTTCGTAAATTCGATGGTCGATACAATGACCTTGTCAGAAAATACAATTAAGAAATAAAATATCATTTTAGAGTTTCGTTGGGATATGGCATGAAGTCGTACCGAAATTTTATTTCTTATATTTTCAGTTTTTACTCGTGTGACAAGGAAAAATAGGTATTATTTAGACTTTGTTATGGAATTGCAAAATAACGTAACTACGACATCATGTAACGTCACAATCTGAACTTTGCTTTCCCTATACAAGAAAATCGGATCATATGCGACGAACTGCATGTCATTGAAAAATTAATTTCAATTTCATTATCATTGTTATATAAGGAAAGCAAATGTTAATATTTTATAATTGAGTCATATGCTGACTGACATTTTCAAACTATTTATAAATCCATTATCTACACACTGAATTGACAATGGGTTTTCCCAATATTTCCCGATCATGAAAAGGAGCACACGGCGGATGTGATCGGTCAGCAGGGGATGCTCACTCCTCCATGGCACCGATCCTTTTTCTGATCATTTGGACATCCGTGTTTGCTCCGTTCCTATTTTGAATTGCTTTATGAACTTTTGAGCCTGAATACTTATCGTTATCTCCATATATCGATTATCTATGACCAAAAAAGCATCAAATTATGTAAACGTCATATGCTCAATGATTTTTCGAATCATTGTAAATTTTAGTTTTGTTGAAGCGCAAGAACAGCCTATAATCTTTAAACAATACAGTCCCTTATATTCATTTTGATGATCAAGCTTATTCTTGTGTTGCAGATATTGTCCTTTTTTTTATTTATATGAATTTTGATCCCAAAGTCCTGCCACAATTTTGAGCGTACCTTTTTAAATAAAATATAATAAAATGAATATTTCAGTGCAACAGACTTTGTAACAGAGAAAGAGACTTTGGACCATGTTTGCAGTATGATTTAGCTTATTGTGTACAGATCTGCGCACTTTGTAGACAAATTAATCGTACAAATTAAGATCACATTCTTCTTGCAGTAAAACTTAACATTATCGAATTTTAGGACGAGACATTACCCTTATATGTATTAAATAGTTCATGGCAAAGGTACATATTCTTAAAAATCAGTATTTCAAGTTTTCTAAGTCAATGTTTATAAGAGGGCTTGATTAATAAATTGTATGAAGAGAAGGATATGGAGAAACAGTATACACTCTCAAAGTCCATAAAACAATACAAAATAAGAGCAGAGCAAACACGGAAAGAACATCAGAAGTTTGATAGGTGCCATAGAGGTGTGAGCATCTCCTGCCGACCGGTCACACCCGCCGCGTGCTCCATGTCATGATCAGGAAACAACGGAAAAAATACGTCGTCAATTCAGTGTATAAATAATGGTCTTACAATTGGTATGAAAAACGTTAGTCAGCATTTGACTCAATGATTAACTGTATGAGGGGTTATCAAAATGTTCATGGACTAGCGTCATAAAATTAAAACTGCTTTAGGTACATCTATGAATTATAAAATATCTAGTTAGCATCATCTTTTCTATTAAAAGAATAAACCATAAATCATGAATTATATTTTTTAAATAAATCAGTAATATTTTTGTAAGCACGACGTTTTTGCGACGTATGTGTAACTGAGAAAAACTCTTTTGATATGAGCATTTGACATCCGAAATTCCCGTTAATTCAGGTATGTGTTGGGACACAATTGTTCCATTAAATATGAAATTTTCAATTCATTCTGGAAGTTCTATGAAATTTTATCGTAAATTTTACACGGAATGTCCAAACAAATGAGGCCTTGAAAATGACGTCAAAAGGGGGAGGGGTTTCCGTTTCCAACATTCTATAAAGTTTTGCCTGTGAAAAAACTGGTAAAAACCTAAAATATGTTGAAACTGGCTAAAGAGAAATAATATACATCCAGAGTACTTGTCTTTTAATGTCAAAATAGATTCTTAGAGAAAAGGGATACACAGTTAAAGCCGATTTGCAGTCAATGTGTGAAAAATCAATTACGTCAAAAAATGACGTTGATCATGTGTTGTAGATATTGAACTCCCAAAAGCAAAATATGCCGGCACAATCAAGCGCGGATCTCTCCCGATATATTAATCCATCTGGAATATTATATTCATTGAAGGCCACTGTTCATGACATTGTAAAGTCATATAAACAAGACGTGTTTAAATCCTTACTCCGCTCCAGGTAATCTCATCAAAAAAGTGTATGAGGTAGAAGAAGCGGAATTTTAAAAAACAATCCCGTTATCGGACGTCATTAAAATAAACGACGACAGCGCCGGGTGATCATATAATGTCGTTTTCATTTTATAATAATTTGGCAAATAATGAACGTATCAGGCTAAATTTTTCAACATTTCTTTATTTTTAGTTGTTTTATGTTCTATATAAATTTTGAAAGCACAGACTATATGGTTCAAAAGTTATGGCGAAGGTACAATTGTACAAAACAATTTTAAAGCATATTGGTTAAAGTCAAGGCAACAAGGTCATTGACCTTGGTGTCATTTGGAAGAGCTTCATTAGTGGAGTATGCATATCATATATGAAGTCTGTATCTCTATGGTTCAAAAGTTATGGCAAAGGTTAAAGTTTGCAGACAAACAGACGGACAGGACAAAACAATATACGCCCGGGATCTCTCGATTTATTTTTAAACTTGATTTGAATTGCACAATTTGAAAAATATTCTAATGTTTAAGCTTGCACCAATCTCAAATGAAATGAACCCGATAAAATCAATACAGGTTTTTGAATTCTGGCAATGGCGTCAAGAATTGACGTCGGATTATGGTGACGTCATAAGCATTGATTGTTTTTACACACCATCGGACTTTGATGTGTAAGACCATCGTACGTAAGTATCGCGCGTCTTACAGGAAAGGAGCCATTGGACTTTGGCGTGATCATCGGACTTTGGTGTCCGTAGGACAACAAACCATCGGGGTTTGGCGCATATCATCGGGTTTTGGCGTAACCATCAAACTTTGGCGTGACCATCGGGCTTTGGCGTCCGAACGACAACAAATCATCAGGGTTCGGCGTAACCATCGAACTATGGCGTGACCATCGAACTATAGTGTCACCATCGGAATTTGGAGTCCTTTATATACTGCCTGTGACGTTAACATACTGTTCTTTCACCAAGCGATCGGCATTAGAAGCAAAAGTCACAGGTCTTTCAGGTCTTTCGGATATGACCTAAAAAACGTAGGTCCCATGTCACGATAGGCTTGTCACGCTTAAGACCCTCACTGCTCAATGGCCCTGAGTGCCGAGTATAGGTCTAAATTTAAAGCCCTTCACAGGCATACGGTGACGTCTCCATATGAGTGAAAAATTATCAAATGGGACCTGAAACAGTATACAATCAATCAATTAATATATCGATCTATATCAATAATCTGACTTAAAAGTTGTATTAGGAATTTTTTTTTGCTGATAAAAAAAATGAAAAACTAAAAGTCACATGCACTACACTTATATGCATTATTCCATTGCTGTAAATCTCTGAATGTCAATTTTCTTACTGAAAAAATGTGCACTTGAGAAAATATTTCAGTAAACCTCTGAAAAAATCCAAATTTAACACCGAAGAGCTTGGCAATGAAACATTCATTTCGAACATGTATGCTTTGTCGCTGCAAATGAGAATTTAACCCGTGCCTCCTAATAACAAAGTGAACGCTCTTTTGTGCTCAGTATATTTTGAAATTAAAATTCTAATACTTTATTAATCAGCTTTGTGTTTCTTTTTAAATGTTATCTGTAATTTTCTAAGCTCTCCTGATTTAATATTGAAGGTGTGTGTGTGTGTGAGGGTGTATGTGTGTGTGTTTGTGTAGAAAGCTGTATTTGATTTAAGCGCCATTATCTGTAAGAACTAAATAATTCTTTTAAGAATGAATTTTTCAAACTCTGTAACATACATTGTATTAAAAAGAATTTGACGTCATAATCCTGAATAAGGTGAAAGGTTACTTTGTATTAATGCTATCTTAGAAACTTTAAACCTTGATCGTTTTTTTATTTGATGACGTTCAGAATTCCATTGTAAACTTTTGCAAATAGAAAATGACCTGATTGTTTTCATAGTCGAAGATAGATTTCTTATCCTCATGATGAAAATATCTTGGATATCAAATAATTCATGCGTTGTAGAAAAAAAACAGCTCTATGAAAAAGAAAAAAAAAATATTTCATTTTAATTATTTATACGTTCAAAAAATATAAGCAATAGTATAAAGTGTATCTAAAAAAAAAGGAAAATATAAGTATGTAAATATTCTTTACATAACACTTCTTGAAAAGATACAATATATTCATAGATGTTAATGAGTCCGTGATTAAAAAATACTTTATTTCTATTTTTTTTCTGATCATCATCAAAGTCTTCTTTAATGCTTCAGAACCTCTCCAGTCAAACCAGACAGGGTATTTCAATCCACGCTTCACTGACTCTGTATATTGTCCGTTCAGGTTTGAGTCAGTACAGCCCCTGTACCACCAACCTCCGTGATCTGATACGGCACAATGAGTACTGTAGTTGTCATTATCTTGATCCTTTGTGCTGAACTTCATACCACTGTGATAAGTCAAACTGTCATCTGGAAGAAAGATTTGGTTTTAAAATGGCAAGAAATAATATAACGTATGAAATATGAATTTGTATGGTATCTCGTGTTGAAAACGGTCGTATCTTGCAATGGTGTCTTAGATTTTAGAATTCTGAGCATTTGTAGAATCAATATTACAATCTTTTTTTTTTAGAAAAAAGATACTGTTTAAATACGTAAGATTTGATCAATATCCTAGTCAAAGTTAATAAATTAAACCTTAACAATATTGTTTTAGTAATCTTGTACTATAATTAAGAAAGAAATATTCTGAAAAGTTTACTAAATTTATGTAGAGAAGTGTTTGTTGCAAACAGTAACAGATTTGATGTTCTGTTAGTTTATAATCTAGGATAAAGCAATTTTAAAATGTTTTATGCATATTAACTATGTTTCAATATTTTTTGTAATGATATAAAAAAAATTACACATGACAAAAAGATGGGAAAAAATGAACTTTTTGAAGGTTAAAAGTACACTTTTCTTGCTATTTTTTAAAAACCTTGCATGAATATCTCTCTCGGTAATCGGCAGATCATTAATTAACTTCTGTCATGAATTCTTAGAATTGAATATGTAGGGTTCTATCCGCATGTAGTTATCTAAAAAATGATGAAGTGCTTTAAGTTTTAGTTTAAGAATGACTTTAAAGTAGTCAGTAGTATGCATATGAAACACATCACTCGAAATAAGACCCAATGATGGGGCTTATATTTGTTAACAAGTTTATTAAAGGACCATACAAATACATATTGCTAATTTTACATCAGGTTGCTGAAGTCTGTGCAAGGTAAACATATCAGCTAAAAATTGATTCCATTCGTAGTTTGCTCCTCAGTATCGAATAATTTGGGAGATGTAAACACCGGTGAAACAAGACTGGATAAGTAAAATTGACCACAGAAAAACGGTCATCTCGTTCGTCATACTATTGAATTCTTTGTTGGCCCTTGTCGTCTATCGTTAGTAAAGAATCCAAAGATGAAACTGATGAGGCGGTATCTTTGCGAGCTTTTAGCTTTATGTTCACTAGAATATATTGAGTCAATATATGAATGGTGGCTAAAAATATTTAAAAATAAGTCGTCTAAGTATTTATAAATTTCAAGTTGAAAGCCATGGAAATTTTTTTGTCTTCTCGTGTAACGTAGCAATCAATAATTTTTTTCAATCATATGGGCATATTCAATGATCAAAAAATAATTATATACTTTCTCGTAGATAATTCTTTTTCCTTATTTACATTGAATTTGAATGGCAGGTGTGTGATCTCGAGTCTTAGAAATATAGAGAAAATGAACAGTACTCAAGCACAATTGTCAAAATGAGGAGCAGTACAAACACGGACATTGAAAACACCACAGGTGGGATCAGAAGCAAACAAACCCCGTGAAAAGAAGACCTTAGCAGCTGACATAGCGACAGAATGTATCCGCCGACAAGGCTACAGCACCGACACAAAATGTGTAAAACGATTATCCAAGATGAGATTGTCGACATTCTTGCTTTAATACCCCTCTTGCAAATAACCCACCTCTCTGCTGAAACCGCCCGCCCGAAAAGCACGCCCCCGCGAATCGAATTAACCGAGGGACACAAACATAACACACAGCAACAAAGGTAAGAACAGTCCCATACAAGCAAAGGAAAACCGACGACGACAAACCGAGGTCATCACGTCTATCTTAATGGCCTGTTGCTAGATTTCGATCGACGTCTTTTTCTTGTAATATATCCAAATATGAAACAGATTTGTCAGACTTTTTGATATTGCTTATTTCAAACTCACTGGGACAGATCGTGTATACAGTTGGAAGGAAGTTACCACTGTAAACCGACAACTCCTCGTCTACATATCCAAATGCTGAGCAGAGGTATCCAGCAAGTGCATTCGCCTCCCCCAACGCCAAAGATTTTGAAAAAAAAGTCACCCCACAAAATACAAAAGCAGGTTTGTCAACGTGAGGCTGCAACGGGCACCAGATTTACGGAACGACTGGTCTCCAAATATAATGTTTATCAGAAACTCAGATATCCCCCAAACACCAACTTCAGACCACCTGCGTACAACCAAAATGTCTTTCAACAAACAACAAACAATTCCGCAAACGACCAATTGCCACCCAAGCAAATCCACGAGTTACATTCTCATTGGAAAACAGGTAACAAAAGTTGTAAATTTTCTTCCGGTAAACAATTTATATCCCACCTTTCCCCTTCATCGAAAATGAGTGTTTCAGGCTCTCTTGGTCTCTTGGAATTATGTCAAAGAATTCTACACAAGAGTTTGAAGAATGAAATACTTGGAATTTATGTTCTTGGCCTTTAAATCTGCCAGTGTCAGCATTTATAAATACAAGGTATATTATTTTATTTTCTTATAAATTAAAAGCTTACATCTTCACCTACATTAGAAAACTGCTTAATGTCACTCCCTTAAACAAAGGATTTTGTTAAGAGACAGAAGATACAAACAAACAAGTGGTCCATGGGCCTCATAGGTCACCTGAGTATCATGTAACAACTTTCCAACAATTTAATTTGGTTCAGTGTTTTAACCAGAGACCATGAAATTCACAATTATGAAAGAGGCACCATTGCTTATCATAATTATAAACTAAGCATGCTTCTATTTACTTAATACACAGAGGTAAATCAAAGTAACACAGAGAAAATGTATTTCAACTTTATAACCAGTTGTGCACCCCATCCAAAAGGAACCTCTGACCCTCGAGCCACATATTTCAGAATTTTGGAATTCTTATCATTGATTTTATTTCGTCATAAATGGTTGATTAATACCAAAGAGCAGATTTCAAATTATTAATTTTTTTCCGGACTATGTAACCCCCCCCCCCGACTCCGATACCCTTGATTTAGGGAGCATGAAATTAACCATTTTGCTAGATGCACCTTTCTTCATCATAAATATATCTACTTGGATCGTTTGCAAAATACCCAGGAGCAAAGAAAAAGATTTTAGAAGAATTTATGTATTTTCAATTTTTAATCAAAAGACCCCATCCCCTTTTAAACTAAATAGCTAAACTCCTGACAAAGGGGCCATGAAATTTTACAAATTTGGTTGAAGCAGTATAACTTTATGCTAAGTTAGTTAATTTATTACCCAGGAACAGAGAAGATTTTCAAAGAATTAACGCATTTTCACAATATATTCAATAAAGCCCCGCTCTTACACCAGAACATCTGACCCTGGGGCCATAACATTCACAATTTTGGAAGAGACACTCTTGCTCAGCATAACTATGTACTTAGTTATTTAATTTAATACCAAGGAGCAAAGAATAAGATTTTCAAAGTTTTAATGCATTTTCATAATTTATTCAATAGAGCCCCGCCCTAACACCACCAGAGCCCATGACCCTGGAGCCATAAAATTCACAATTGTGGAAGAGGTTGCAGTACTCTTGCTTATCATAACTATTTACTTAGTAAGATTATTTGATACCCAGGAGCAGAGGAGAACATTTACAATGAATTAATGCATTTTCACCATATAATCAATAGAGTCCCGCCCTAACACCAGAACTGCTGACCCTGGGACCAATAAAATTCAAAATTTTGATAGAAGCCCTCTTGCTCATCATAACTATGTATTTATTTAGTTTGTTTAATACCCAGGAGCAAAGAAGATTTTCAAAGAAACAATGCATTTTCACAATATAATCTGTATAGCCCCGCCCTAGCACTAGAACCCCTGATCCTGGGGCCATGATTTTCATAATTTTGATAGAGGACTCAATGCTCAATACATTCATTCTAACAATTTGCCCGCTTAATGTCCAAGAGTAAAGAAGAAGATTTACAAAGATTTCATTAATTGTAGTGATTTGAGCCCCACCCTCCATGCTCCCAGGGGGGAGACAGGGACCATAAATTTCACAATTTCTGTTCCCCTTCACCTATAAATGCTGTAAACCAAATTTGGTTAAAATTGTTTCAGTGGTTTCAGAAAAGAAGCTGAAAATGTTCAAATGTTAACGCACAACTCACTAAAAATTCACAATTTTGAAAGCGCCACCATTGCTTATCATAACTATACACTTAGCATGTTTACTTTGTTTACTTTATACCCAGAGGTAGATCAGAGTAACCTAGAGAAAATGCATTTCCATTGAATGGGTTGTACCCAATCCCAACTGATCCTGGAGGCACATCTTTCAAAATTCTTTAAATTTTATTTCATCATGTTGGTGATTAATACCAAAGTGCAGATTTCAAAGCATTAAATTATTTTCAGATCATGTACCACCACCACTCTATCCCAGGGACACGGGAATTAACCATTTTTTGGAAGAAGCAGCTTTCTTTGTCATAAATATATACTAAGATAATTAGAATAATACCCAGGAACAAAGGAAAAGAATTTTTTTTTTAGAATTCATGCATTTCACTCTACATATATAAACATTAAACCCGATCCTAACACAAGAAGCCGTGACACATGGTGCCCTGAAATCCACAAATCTCAAAGAGGCATCCTTCCTCCTCCAAATATGAACATAGCTCCTTGGTTTAATATCCAGGCGCAAAAAGACAATTTTAAAAAAATTATTCCTTTTCACTATTTAATCAATAGAGCCACGCCCTAACACCAGAACCCCAAACCATGAAATTAACAATTTTGGAAGAAGCAGCCTTATTCAACATTACTATGTATACAGTTAGTTTATTTAATACTCAGGGGCAGAGAAGAATCTTTTCAAAGGATTTATGAATTTTCACTTCAGTGGACCTTCAGATAACCGAACGCCAGATATCTGGATGCTTTAGTATCTGAAAGACTTTTCATCGAAATGGAATTTTTTAACGTTATTTTTTCTTGTTTAACTGGAAATTCAGATATCCAGACATTTCACATATCCGGACAAAATGAGTAGGAACCAAAGCGTCTGAGATAAATTTGTGCTCCACTGTATATAATATATATAGCCCCGTCCTACCACTAGAACCCCTGATCCTGGTGTCATGGAATTCATATTTTTAGAGGAGGCAGCCTTATTCAGCATAACTATGCACTTGGTTAGTTTATTTGATACCCATGAACAGAAAGGAAGAATTTCAAAAAAAAAATATGCATTTTCACTATGTAATCTATATAGCCCCGCCCAATGCACTAGAACTACTGACGCTGGGGCCATGAAATGCAAAATTTTGGTAGAAACAGTCATTTTCAACTTAATTATGCACTTTGTTAGTTTATTTAATGCCCAGGAGCAGAAAGGAAGAATTTCAAAGAATTACTGCATTAAAGTATAATCTTTAAAGCCTCGTCCTTGCACTATAACCCGTGACCCTGGGGCCATGCAATTCACAATTTTGGAAGAAGCATTCTTTTTAACTTAACTAAACTTTGTTATTTTGTTTAATGCCCGGGAAAAGAGAAGAAGAATTTTATAGGAATAATGCATTTTTACTACTTAGTATTTAATTTATTTAGCCCCGCCCTTGCATTATAACCCCTGACCTGGGGCCACGAATTTCTAAATTGTGGTAGAAAACTGGATGCTTATTACAATCATACCAACAGTTTGACTGCTTGATGTCCAGGAGTAAAGAAGATTTTTTTTAAATTGCACTACTTTTAGTTGTGTTGGTCCCTTCCCCAAAGCCCGGGTAGGACCATAAAATTTAAAATTTTGTTCCCCTTCACCAATAAATGCTATATGCCAAAATTGGTGGAAATTGGTTCAGCGGTTTCAGAGCAGGAGCTGAAATATGTTCAAATGTTAACGCACAGCGAACGACGACGGACAAAAACGGATAGCAATAGGTCAGCTGAGTTTTCTCAAAAGGGCTGTCTTGATTGAAATATATTTTTGACCTATTTTAGTTGTAATGATAGATATAATAAATTTCTAGAGTGTAAACAAATTGTAAACTTTCTCTGATTTTCAATCTACACAACTTTATTATTACTGCCATAACATTAAATCCCAATATTGTGAAAGAATATTTTCAAGATTTAGAAAAAAGGTTTGTTTCAACTGTGTTTAATATCAAAATTTATGAAAGGATGTACCTGCGGTTCCTGAATACCCCGATACAGTGAGTTTGTATTTACTGCCTTCGTCCCCGACATAAAATGTGGAGTAATGAGCATATGCTTCAGCACCACCAAAACTTTGTAGCTCAACCCGGAGTTCCTGATCCCTGTTCCTTGTTAACTCATTGATTGCATCATTTCCTTTTTCAAAGATATAGGTAAAAAGTTATACTCATTTTTAGAAAATAGTATTTTCTTTTATTTGCTGAATAATATAATGGGTAGATCTGGAATTCCAAGTGTAATTAAAACGACTTTTTAAAATGCAAAGTGTTTAAAAATAATTTTATCACTACTTATACTTTACTAAAACACCTTCAAGTTGAACATGTTGAAATCTTAAAAAATCTACAAGGTTATTTCTATATAAGCAGCCAACTCGAGCTCCTTGCCATTTTCAATGACCAAACTTTTCCACGGAAAACGAGCGCGGGTATGTTAAGGAAGCATATAAGTCATTTCTCGGTAAATTTAGACTTTTTAAAGAAATTTACCAGAACCGCCAATAAAGGTAAACTATTATTATATATTACATTAAGATAAAAGAGTGTCTAACGCAAAGACGTGCGCCACAACACTGCATCACGTGACTTCTATTAATAGCGAAATTTTCCTTGATACAAAACCTAACATATTCGCTCGAAACCTTTACCGATGTTTTGAATTTTATACATATGAACCGAGATTTTTCGTAAAGCAATCTCTAACTCGGAATTCTAGAAGCACTTTTCAAGTATTTAAAGGAGGCAAACTTTCCAACTGAACAAATCTTATGTTTTGAAATATCCAGCTTATTGCTGTTCTGTTGCATTATTTTAGTCACGAATGACAGCTCCTAAGAAAATGCCGACCGGGATACGTATATAGTTGACTGTCTTCAAAAGAGAATATAATCGATGAAAATAAATTAGCATACCTGTTTAATTAACTGAAGTCCATGTGATTTTCACAAAATATCCACGATATTTGCCTTGAAACTCTATTTTAGGTATCTTTGTACATTCTTAGCCGAATTCTCTTTACACGACATGATCAATTCCCAATTTACTAGATGTACACATATGACGTCATCGGTGGTAGATTTTAATCAACATGACAGATACATTATGACGTCATAGTAGGCAAGATGACGTCAATTTTTAAACACAGGTTTTCGTAATACTGCGAGGTTAAAGATTGATTATCGGGGGGTTCTCTGGGAATGGAATAAGTAATGTAAGTGTAATGTAAATAGGGTGTCCCAAAACATGTTACACTTTTATATACTTTTATACACTTTTATACTTTTCTATAACTCTATCAAAATAAAAGCATTTACAAAGATATTTTGTTAAAATCTAGTGTATTAGCATACATTTTATCTGATCTTATTTTACTTTTAATGTATAATACTTAATATTCGAGTGGAATCTGTTACGGACGTCATATTGTATGATATCTACTGTATTCTTAGAGGAGTAAGCAAGAACCCTGGTGCATCTGTTTCGGATTTTATTTGCAAAATTTATTCATTTATAGATATGTATAAATTGAAATTTGCGCAACATGGGTATGCTTCAATATCATTTTGACTAATATGACACACACAGCAGACAGGGAAAAATTCTCTTCACTGTATTACATTTCATCCCAAATTGAATCCACATAACTTTTAAAAGTTTTTTGATCCTATTGTTTTTTTTAAATTTGTTCTAATATACTAGAGTAACATAGGAGTCATCCCGTGACCTCTCCCTACCCCTAGACCATAAGTTGAATAATTCTAATTTATATTACCGGGGTATGTCAAGAAGCTTTTACTTACTTTTATCCATTCCACCCCTTAGAAATCGTACTTATCCAATAGTTTTAGGGGGACCGTCAAACCCTCGTTTATATTCTGTCACTACATTTAGATAGACATCTTATAATGTAAATGTTACATTTTAAACTAATCTTACCAATCCAGTAGTTTTTATAGGCATCCCCAAATCCTTGTTTATATTCTGACCACGTCCTGTAAAAATCTGTAGATCCATCTTGTCTTCTTTGTATAGCCTTTAACAGATTAAATGATTTAAATTCCTTTTGAATGTTTTAAACGTAAGTAATTTAAGACTTGTTAATTTTTTATTTTAAAAACACATTTAGATTCTATGTTTCATAAGAGAGAACATCTAAAAGCACTAAGTGATTTCATTTTCTTAGGACACAGAGTAGACTTTTTCCTCACTTTATAACAAGTTGTACTCACCGTCCACCATCCTCCATCTGTACTCATGTACTCATGTCACAGTAAACAGACCTTACTACTGAGTCTCATACTAACCGTCCACCCTCCTCCATCTGTACTCATGTCACAGTATACAGATTTAGACCTAGAGTTTACTGTTATTATGTGTACTCCATCTCCTCCCTTTAAAAACGGGTATTTCCGTAATATGTCCAAGCAACTATGACTATTAATTGAAAGCACTGAAAAATAAATTGATTAATTAGATGTGATTTATTGTTTTATTCATTTATTTATTTTTACAATTTAAAAATCCATTAACAAATCATCATATAATCGATTAGTTGATTTTATGTTGTGTAGATCCCTTTGAGAATTTTTTTCACTCATATAGAGACGCCACCACATACACCGGTGAATGGCTTCCAATTTAGATATCAGCCCCAGTGATCCTTTATGTTTCAGACGATTATATAGAGTTTCGAAAATCCCATAAAGTTATCTACCATGTTTTCTAACAAAACATAAAATGCTTTCATAAGTAAATACCCTGTACCAAACGGTAATCAACCTTGCAATTCTAGTTGTTTAGCTATTTAGTTAGTTTAGTTGTTTGCTTAATTATTTACTTGTTTACCGTTGAGCTTATCGATGTCGAAATATTTACAGAAAGAACCTGAAAGTAAAATACCGTGCCTGATATAAAACATTCACAAAAATACAAATATATGAACACGGAATCATGGAAATTTTAAAGCTGGATTTAGTGCCTAGGATGAGTTAGCATCATCTCCTCTTGACCAAGAAAACCCCCAACGGGTCCGATTTATTGGTCAGGATTTAGTAATGTACCCATTGCCACTAATGGGTTGTGGGGAATATATTCTTAAAACACTTATTTTCCTCGGGTCAACCTTCGTGGTTTGTGGGCAAAATATTGATTAATTGTGATTTTAGATTTCGAGGTTGGTACTACATACGTGATTCAGTCCTTCGTAATTTTGACATCTCTTGGAGAGGATATGAATCCGTACGTCACCTCAAAAACAACAACATAAAACAATCATTTGAAAATTTTGATTTCACAGTTATTTGATCATTTAATAGGAATTTTAAGTTAAGATATCCGATTTTTTTATTTTAATCTGTAACCATTACAAAAAAGACTTTAAATTATTACACAATGTATATAAAGTGACTAATTGGAGGTGGTTCCTTAAGTACTTGATATCTTATACTTCCGTAAAAGAAGATAAATCTTAATTTATTATTATTATTTTTTTTTTGATAATTTCTCTCCGGAAACCAGCTACTAAGTTTATCTTATGAATTAATTCTAAACTTAAATAGAATTTACAATTATACTTAACCTTTTGATAAAGACCAGTTCGATTCATTCAGATCCCCTCCTGAACATTGTTGAACGTTTCCATTGCAGACGCTGCAAAACTCTTGAACTTGTCCTCCATCTTTTTAATCTGTCTGGCAAGAACTTCTACGCCACTGATCTGTAATGTCGGGTTCATTTCATTCATTTGATCTTGGAGAACCTCCATTCCTTGACTAAGTCCTCGATCAGTGTTTTCCAGAACCAGACTTTTATTTCGAAAGCCATCATCAAGTTCTTTTATTTTTTGAAAGTTCTTTTTTACTTCTATTACATGGGATTTATTCAGAGTGTTAATTCTATCCAATGTTCCTATGTCCGATGACTTCAATGTCTCCATGTCTTTTCGAACACCTCTTTCCGTTTGTTTTATTGTCTTATTTAACAAATCAAGTTGTTTTTCAAAAGCCGAATTTTTCAAGGCTAGTTTGAGATTTTCATCATGGAGAGCTAATGTTTTGCTTTTGAGAAAAAATATTTCCGTCTGATTAAGGTTTTGAATTTCTTCCATCGTATAGTTTCTATAAGCATTCATCGTGCCGTAAACGACCTTCAATTCCTCTTTAAGTTTGCTGTTTTCTTCTTCAATTACTTGATTTCTAGTCTCCAAGTCCTGTAATTCCTTTGTCACCTCACTAAGCTTCGCCTTCATTACTTGTCTATTGTTTTTATTATCTATGGCATCCATCACTAAATTTTGTATTTTTTGCACCATAGAGAAGCGGACCAGACTTTCCTGATTCAGAATGTCTCGTAGGACGTTGGACGCTCTACCTGACACAGTAATCGGTAACAAACTATCTTCGATAGATGCTTTCAGGTAATGGTAATTGCCCAGAGATCCCGCACACGTACATTGGGAGTATTAAAACAAGTATTCGTGGACACTCCATCTTTGCCCTAATTTCTTATGCATAAAAAAAGGATTTTCAAGGTTTTTATATTATGCAGAACTGGGCGTTAGTTATCTACGCGATGATTGAAGCACTGAGATAAGTATTTTTCACCAAAAAGATTAAAGCTTCAATCTCTGTTTATAATATGCAGATTGAATAAACACCTATCAAAGACGAGGTACATAAATGAAGCATTTCTTGGCAAGTAAGTTTATTTTAAGGGTTTTTGTGTTCTCTTTTCATTTTCTACTTTTTTTATGAAATCATTTTATCCTGGATCTAATCACAAATATTTACGTAATAACCAAGTAAGTGTATTCAAATAATATTGTAGTTCCTAAATTGAAATCCTGTTTGTAGACTTTTAAAGAAACCCGGGTCTGTATCATGAGTTCTTGTTTATAAATTAAGAGGAGATTTCTTACAATAAGTAAGCATTAAACGTGATCAACTTTTGGCAATTGCGAAACGAAGCAGCTGTATATCCTCAAAATCTTCAAATGCCTCTCTCTCTCTCTATCACTTTCACAAATATCTCTTTTTCTTTTAATTGAATTGGCTTTCCTTTTCATTCTTTTAGAAGTGTTGACACTGCCTTGTAATGTCGCTACATATTTTAGAACATCAATTTTTGCATTTATTACACTTTTATTTTGTTTGATGACCAAACTCTTATTTTACACAATCTTCAAAATATGTCATTTTTATGAGGTTGCCTTTAATAATGACTATTTGATATACATTCATATTTTTATTGTCATTTACTTTTAATTCTCTCCAAATTCATATTTTTATTATCATTAACTGACCAAGTTTGCCATAGTATTACTAGGTTTTTCATCGCTATATACTGTGATCTTTTTATTAAAACTTTGTTGTTTCTTCTATCGTTTTGCTGTCGGTAACATTCATCACTAAACTTTATAATTTATGTACGATAAAAGCCTAGCAAATTGTCCTGAATTAGAATGCTCCGTAGTACAGTAAACGGGACGCTTAACCAGTTACGATTTTAGGCAATAAGGCATTTTCTTTTGATAATTTTTGCTTTCAGGTTAAGGTTTTAAGGCAAAAAGAGTATTAAGTGCAAGGAGAATATTAAGCATAGTACTTGTGAAATCCCCATCTTCGCAATGAAAATTGATGGATAAGGGGAATGCTTATATACATTATAGCACTGGGTGTTGATGATTGTTAAAAAATATAAGTACATGTCTGGGTTTTTTCTAGATCTGCTGAAATGATGACTTGATAGTTGATATTTGATATACTTTTACTCTAACAATGGATATTGCGTCTCATCTGAAGAGTATATTTCAACTCTATTTGCTAATGAACTTATATAGTTACTGATCTCATGAGTGGCTTATTATATAATGGAAGTCTCAAGTAAGCCTAAATCATAAACATTCGCTTGATAATTTAAATATGCTATTAATCCTATGCCACAGACACCAGACGTTACTTATTTTTCTTTAAATAAATAAAAAAAGCCTTACCGAAAAATAAACGTTTATTATTAGGTAGGGGTATATTTTTATGAATAGAAAAATAAGTAACATAATATGGGTCCACTGCACATATTTCATTTCAAATAATTTTTGGTAACTGGGAAATCTCTCAGAAAGAGATAAGCCTAATTTACTTCTAGTTTATTCTAATTATGTAAAAATGTTGGTCACAAGAAAATAACGTTAATTAATCTAGATTTCTTGCTCTCTGGCATATTAGTGCGCGACATAGACTCTAGAGCAAACGTATAAATTTTGATCTCGTGTTATAGTAGATATTGGCAAAGATCCCTCAATGCATAATGGCTCCGAGTGCCGAGCATAGGACCAAATATGCCCTTCTCCACCGGCAAGTATTGGCGTCTCTTTTATGTGTGTAAAATTTTCTCAAGAGACGTTACAAAACATACAACCAATCAAAAAAAATATTTAAAACATGAATAAGATTTTTCATTTTATTGTGAGATTAAACAAAAAATCTTTATCTTTCTATTTACTATATAAGATTTTCTCAAATGATCATGCATGATTAGACAAAATATTGTTTTCTGAAAAAGAGTAAGCAACGCTTCAAGATATTTTCCATTTTAATTTAAGTGTTATTTGAATGCTCTTGTTGATGATGAAAATCGGCGTTTGGAATTCAAATAAAATGGTGAGAATTGGAGCAGAGGGTTATTTCAAAAAGATTTTGTACCAAAGTTTCAGGTTTGAGCTTTTACCCGATGATATAATGTTCTATATCATATTTAATTCTTTTCTGTAGAAATTTACTGCTCAAAAGCTTTTCATTCATCAATGAATTTGTATAGCAAAATTTCTAAATTTCATTAAGGAGGAATAAGCACACAATTTAATAAGTAAGGAAAGAAAATAGCTACTCATGCTTTAACAAGGTTAAGACATGTATATGCAGCGAGCAATTGAAATTAAATCGTTGTTTTCTAATATTCCAATGATTGCTTACCGAAAATTTTGACTTCACATATTTCAAGGAATGCCCCATCGACATACGTTTTATTTGTGTAAATCCATACGTACTGGGCAACTCCTTTACATTCTTTCTCAATAATTGGAGGTAAAGTTGTTTTTCCATCATCTTGATAACATGTGTTCTGAGGAAGAGTCAGGCTTGTATTTGAGAGTCGGATGTTAAACCCCTGTATTCTTCTTGTATTATGTCCCTTAACTAGTAAAACAAGTAAATTGTAATAAAGAAGCAACACGTAATAAATCGCAGAAAATATCATTCTCATTAAATACATGAACTGTTTTTCCCGAAAAAATTGTCGGAATATTTTTTTCTGGTACATGTGAGTTGTGCATTTAAACATATCT